ACACGGGGACAGGCTTGTGTCACCAATATGGAACAGCAGCGGCAGGGCTTCCCTTGGCAGTTTTGTTTTAAATCAACAATTTAATCGCTTTGTATCGATATACTGCCCTGACCTGGATAATCCCGGCTAGCCCAGTCTCGCCAGATCTCCGAAGCTAAGCAGAGTCAGCCCCAGCTAGCATTTGAATGGGAGACCACCAAGGAATACCAGGGCTGTGACATGGAGGCAGGCAATGACAAACCACCTATGAAATATCTCTTGCCTTGAAAACCCTGAAGGGTCGCTATAAATCAGCTGCGACTTGACAGCAAAATAAAAAATAAAAATGCTGTTCTATCAAAATACACATCAGGTTCTCTTGAATTTCCAGATTTCATTTTCAAAAAATTTAAGTCTGTAGCCCATTTTGTTACAGGGATATGCTCTTTCGCATAAATCTCTGCAAGAAAAGGAGCTACAGATTTACTTTTTTAAAAAAATGAAAGCTGAGAATTCAGAGAACCACCTGATACATATCATTATATCTACATCTCAACGTAGCAAAATCTGTGGATATTTAAATCTTTCTTCAATCCTGAGAGAAGCTCCAGAAAAATCTTTTTTTAAAATACACTTGAGGGTTAACCCCCCCCCCCATGATAGAAGCACCACCTGTAGCTTTAAGAAATGAATGCCCTCAGTGGCCACTGCTAGGCAACCACAAGAGAACAGACAATCTTCCAGCCTCAGATTCTATCAGTAATGGGGGGAGGGGTTCTGTTTCCTGGGCTGTTTTGGCCTTTGAGGGAGTACTGATGAAGGCCACAGTGAGCAGCACCAACAGGTGGCTTGATACCAGGCAACGCTTATGAATCACTAAGGACTGGCTATTTGCTACTGTTCAACATAGGGCTGCCAAGTCCCCCCGGGGGGCGGGGGTTTTCCTGCCGAAAGGGCCCCCAACCCGCCGATCCGGATCAGGCCGGCAGGGGAAACCCCGCCCCCAAAGTGCCCAGTTCAGGCCGACGTGCCCGGCACGATGTCACCCAGATGACGAAACCCCCGGGACTATTGCACCCCCTTCCGAACCCGAGGCGACCCTGAGAAGTCATTTCGATGGATTTTATAACTGACTTACCACCCAGCAAATCTATGACTGTAATTTGGGTGGTTGTGGATCTCTTTTCTAAACAAGCACACTTCGTCCCGTTCACATCATTACCTACGGCCAAAGCACTTGCCAAAGCATTCCTCATGCACGTGGTAAGACTACATATGCTACCCACTAAGCTGGTATCCGACAGGGGAACCCAATTTGTCTCACGGTTTTGGGGAGAGCTGATGAAACTGATGGGAGTCGAACGTGGACTCAGTAGTGCTTACCATCCAGAGACTGACGGTCAAACGGAAAGAGTTAATCAGACCTTGGAACAATATTTGCGTTGTTTTGCCAACTATCAACAAGACAATTGGCATGGCTTGTTACCCCTAGCCGAATTCTGTTATAATAATACGTGTCACTCCTCGACGGGGATGTCCCCATTAAAGGCACTGTATGGTTATGACAGCCCACCCGTCCCATTTCTGGAAGGGGATACGGACATGGGACCGGGGGATGCAGCCCAATAGTGTAAAAAATTGAGAGACTCTTGGCCTCTTTTATACGTGGACTTGCCGAAAAATTTGAGAAAATTGCATTCTGTATTTCATTTCAGCCTCCTGAAGAGAGATACGGGTTCCTCTCCCTGGCGTCCAGTGAAACTGGTGCCCCCTCCTATCATGATTGAGGGCGAGGAGCATTACGAAATATCACGGATTCTGGACTCTAAGATCAAACGGGGAAAATTGCTGTATTTGGTAGAATGGGTAGATTTCGGACCCCAGCACCTCGAATGGGTGGAAGTAGGGGATATTCGGGCCCCTGAACTGTTGCGGCAGTTACATCTGGAGTTCCCGGACAAACCGGGAGACCTCCCGGAATGGTCGGGCAAAGCTGATTTTTGAGAGGGCAGTATGTCAGCTATGCTGCCATGGGGGTTGGGGAGTTCATTCTGTGTCTTGTTAATTGCTATTGCATTCCTATCCCTGCTGTTATGCCTTTGCGGAAATGCTTATCTCTACAGATGTGCAGGAGGAGGTTGTATTGTCTGGAGGTCTCCTATGTACCGTGAGAGACTCTGAATTCTCAGCTTTAGCCACCTAACCGTTGCTTGACTTATCCCGCGCGCGGGAGGGTGCCTAATTGGCCAATGCCATTGGGGGGGGTGCATACGAATATCCTATATCCTATTATCCTCTACTGGCTGGGGCCATTCTTAACAGTGCCTATGTTACTGCATCTATAGCTTTGCAATAAAAGTATAACCATTCCTAAATGTGTGTACTTTGTTGTTAGCTGTGGGTTCTGACAGCCGGGCACATCACTGGCCTACGCTCTAGCAATCAGCCTGAAAAATCTATAGTACCATAGAGTTTGGTACCATAGAGTATGGTACTATAGAGTTTCCAGGCCGATTGTTAGAGCGTTGGCCGTTGTCGAGCCCTGCCCCTCCGTGAGGGATTTGTCCCCTGCTGGCCATTGCTGGAGTTGCACCTCCATGGGCCGGGAGTAGAGTCTGTCAGCAATCTGCATCCCGGGGGTGGGGAGGGAGTCGAGGAGAGTTCTCTCAGTGAAGAGGGAGGGGTAGCCTCAGATGACGGGGTATTCAGAGTGCGCCTTCCACCACTCTTGCCCGTCCTGGGTACCTGGCCTCTGCACCAACTGTTGGTGTCTAAGGGGTCCCCTTCTCTCTATCCAGCCTGTCGTTCCCCAGCCAGCCCAGTCCTTCCTTCTTGGCTGCCTCCCGTCTTCTCCTTTTTTTACTCCCTCGAGCCCCGTGACTCCCCTTGTATCCGGGTCCCTCCCCCCTTCAAAGGGAACCACGCAGAGGGCACTTCCGCTTGCCCCGCCCTGGTGCGGTGAGGCGTGGTCCCGAGCGCGCTGTCCTCGGACACCTCGCTGCTTCCTCTGGCCGTCCCGCCCAGCCACGGCATCACCGGCTTCAGCCCCTCCCGGTCTGTCGTCATCCCGCCGTCGGGGCGGCTCCGCCCGCCGAGCCCGGCACCCGATGGCTGACCCCTCTCCTTGTCGCCACCTCCCGGCGTCCTTGGGGCTCTCTCTGCGCCGCGTCGCCCCTGGAGCTGTAAGTTGCGGGAGAGTGGGGAGGGGTAGCGGCGCGTCTGTTTGGGCCTCCCGGCTGCCTCCTGTCCCCAAGTCCCGTCCTGGGTCAGGACAGCCAGCGACGTGCCCAACATGATGATGTCACTTCTGGGTGATGTCACTGCGGCGCGTGCAAATCTCCAGGAACGGAACCGGGTGTCCCCCACTGTGCCGGGTGACTTGGCAACCCTAGTTCAACAGTAGCCAGCCCATGAAAGCTGATGTGGTATAGTGGTTAGAGTTTCAGCCAAGTTCAAGCCACCACTTTGCTGTAGCAGCTCATTGGGTGAGCCTGGGCCAGACACTCATTCTCAGCTTCAGGTACCTCACCAGGTTTTTGAGGAACATTGCCAAGAGACCTTGGGCCAGTTAAACCCTCGCTGCCTAACCAACCACGCACAGTTGGTCTGAGGATAAAATGGAGGATAAGAGGATAGTGTGGACCACATTAGGTCCCCAAAGGGGAGAAAGATGAGTTATTATAACTGAATAAATAATAAATGTAACTGAAGATGAGGGGCAGATAAAATGTAAGCTCATCAGGGAGGGGGAAGGACTGAAGGAAGTAGGAAAAGGGGAAGGTTGTGAGAATGAGGGAGAGGGGAAATATTGTGGGATGGGAGAGAAGGGGGAAAGTGAAGCATCCCCTGTGAGTCCTTGCAGGTTCCCCACTGTACAACCGGCCCCAGACCCACAGCCAGCACCATGCAGCAGAGAAAGTTTTCCTGAACTGAGACTGACAGGGGGAGGGAAGGAAGGAAAGCTGAAGACCGGGGTGGGGTGGGGGGTGGATAAAGGCAGGTTGGCTGATGGGAGGGGGAGAAGGAAGCAGGAAAAGGGGAGAGGCTATGGGGACTCCCAGGGAAGGGAAAGATGAAATAATGGAGGAAAAGGAAATGAAGAAGAAGAAGAAGAGATTGGATTTATACCCCGCCCTTCACTTGGAGTCTCAGAGCGGCTTACAAACTCCTCTCCCTTCCCCTCCCCACAACAGACACCCTGTGAGGTGGGTGGGGCTGAGAGAGCTCTTGACAGAGAACTGCTCTTTTTCAAGGACAGCTGTGCCAGAGCTTGTGACTGACCCAAGGTCACATCAGCAGGTGCAAGTGGAGGAGTGGGGAATCAAACCCGGTTCTCCCAGATTAGAGTCCGCACACTTAACCACACTACATCAAACTGGCTCTCTGAGATGTCCATCCACCACCACCACCCCCAACAAGTCCACATGAGTCTCCTACTTGTTTTGGTATGTTATATCATTATAACACTACTATTAAATTGCTGACTTAACAAAAAAGTAGAACCCTCTCCATTAGGGAGAGGAAATGGCTACAGGCAGGGAGCAGGACCAAGAAAACTGGAACTTTTCCACCCACACAGAAGCCACCCAAACCTTCCTACAGTCTTTCCCAAAACTTTGGTGCAAAGCAGGTTTGACGAAGATCAGACAGAAGCCAGGGAAACCCTGGGAGGTGCACAAATGCACCACGGTACTGTGGAGAACAGGGGGGGAGGGGACCACTTCCCAAAAGCAATGAACTCAGGGCAAATAACTCGCGTGTAAACACCCAGAGAGAGAGAGAGAGAGACAGAGAGAGAGAGATGCCCAGCAAGTTTCATGGCCAAGTGAGAATTTGAACTGAATCTTTGCCCGTGGTAAATCTCCAGGCGAAGATCTGATTCCGGCAGAGTGTTTTTGAACACAGAACTCTTCAGGTCCTGGCCTCACACTCTAACCAATATTCCACCCTCCTTTCATTCAGTCCTGGTATGTCTCCACCCTGGCTGAGCGCAGAAAGAGGGAGAAGGGCGGGGCACTTACACAGCAGCGATCTTGATGAACTTCTTGAGCAGGTGCGCTCGCTTCCCCAGCGACTCACACAGCAACACCTCCGTGGCCACCCAGTGCTGAACTTCGCTGCAACGCTGCAGCAGCAGCTCCAGATTAGCCGTCTCCCGCCGGCCACGTTCCCCGTGGAAAACGTAGTCCACAAATTCCAACTGCCAACCAGGGTGGGAGGGAGAGAGGGTCCAGGTCAAGGCTTCTGGAGTCAAGGTAAGGAACCGCACACACGCCCATCTCCCCCCCCCGCCCCCGCACACTGTCCTCTCATTGGAATGAGTTCCCTTCTCCCCTTCTTCCATATGCAAGACAGATGAAGGGAATGCATATACGAAGGGAACTTCAGCTTGGTCTACCCACACAGCAGAATGAAATGGTAGAATTGTGAGGTGTAGGGATGCCAGCCTCCAGGTGGGACCTGGGGATCCCCCAGAATTACAGCTCATCTCCAGACTACAGATGTCACCTCCCTTGGAGAAAATGGATGTTTTGGAGGCCGGACTCTATGGCATTGTACCCCACTGAGGCCCCCTGCCCTCCCCAGGCTCCATTCCCAAATCTCCAGGAGTTTCCCAACCTGGAGCTGGCAACCCTATCCCCCACCCACCCCTGCCAGTGGCCAGGGAGGACCTGGCAGCCTTAGGGTGGTAGAACAGGTTGTACCATATCAGACTGTAGGGGAGGGGAAGTCACTTTTTCCTTGTCTTTCTCATATTAAAATGCCCTGCAAATTAAAAAAAAAACTACATACAAGAGAGAGGGGCTCTTGCTTACTTGTTCATATTCTGTGCTCATTAGCCATTTACAGAGAACGGTTAAATATGAAAATTATAATCCCCCTCCTTGCAATCATGTGGCCCATTCTCCCATGGTAGCCCTCTGGCATCTTGTTAGTTACCCAAATTGGAAGGTAATTTTGTATATTCTTGATTTTTTATTTCTGTTATTATCTTGGCTTTCATTTACTGCATTAGCTTTTAAAATATATTTTATCTTGTAGATGTTCTAATTCAGCAACTGTGCATTTGGCACCTGACACATGAATTTCATCTTTTGAGGCCTCACAAACATCTTTGTCTTGTGTCTTTAGGTAATAAGTAACGTGATGGGGAGAGTATATGAGATAAGACATTTGGGAAATCCATAAACAGATCTCCCATGGTAAATATCCACCATGGGGGACAGAGAGAATTCAGACTGTGGCCACAGCATTGTTCCCTGTTTCTCCCCTTCTTCCTAAACCAGGGGTGTCAAACTCATTTGTCATGAGGGCCGGATCTGACATAAATGAGACCTTGTTGGGCCAGACCATGTGTGCCATAAAATGTAATGCCAAGTAGCGGAGATATAAGTAGCAGCAGAACTGGAAGAAGAAGCAGAACACAGCCAGTTCCACTACGGGCCTGACAGAAACCCTCCAGGGGCCTAATCCGGCCCCCGGGCCACATGTTTGACACCCCTGTAACCTAAACAGCAAGATTTTCAAATTCCCATATCTGGAAGGAGACAGACCTTGCACCCCGTTTCCTGCCAGTTACCAAGCACAGGAAGATCTCTCACCTCATGGACACAGCGGAACAATTCCCAGTGGAAGGCCGTGAGGTGATTCGCCACGTCCTCAGCTTCAACTCGGTGGATCTCCGTGTCACCCGGCGACACCTGGATTTCATCGGGGAGAGGGACCTGGGTAGAAGTCCGTGGGGTTGGGGTGGGGGAAATTCCAGCAAGTGTTAGAACCAGGAGGAAAAGAAAGGTGGGAGCAGTGTTCCCTCTAAGCTGAGTTAGTGTGAGCTAGCTCACAGTATTTTAGCCGCTGGCTCACACATTTTTGTCTTCGCTCAGGAAGGAAGGCTCCAGAGCAAACTAATTTGTACCGCAGCCAAATAGCTCACTCAGAACTTCAATGCCAGTAGCTCACAAAGTAGAATTTTTGCTCACAAGACTCCACAGCTTAGAGGGCGCATTGGGTGGGAGGTGTTTTAAAGAGATCTGAAGGAAACAGCGCCCTTTTAAGCCAACCACACCACATCAATACCAAGGGCATGGATGGCTAGATGAATGAGCACAGGAGTTTGCACCAACAACATAGAAAAAACCCACACCTGGCTGCTACAGGACTAGCTGTGACAGCAACACATGAGTGGAGTGGGGTCAGGGAGGGTTCGCTCACCACTGACGGAAAAGTATCCTTGGTGCAGGCAAAGAGATGGCTGTTGATCCCCAGGGTGGTGAAAACACACTCTTCATTCGGCTGCAGCACAGATTTCTCTAGGGATGAAGGAGAAAGTTGCCATTCAGTGAATTATTTGGAAAGGCAGGAACAGCACTTCAGGTGGCAAGGTCAAAGTTTAACCACTAAGCTAGGAGGATTTCTCCACAAGCACAAATTCACCTAGTGACACCTGCTCCTCCCTTCACTGCACTAAAGAGCTTGGCTCAATCATTTGAAACATCTGGAGCGAATGCCCCTTTCTGCTGCGCCTCTGCCCACTCCTTATGGCAGATCCCATCTGGAATTTCATAGGCCAAGCAGTAAACCGAAAAAGGATGAACAGATAGAATCTAAAACAATAAAGCATATAATTCTACAAGAATAGCTATCTTTTAATAAGCACACGAGATATAAATAAGATAGAAAACATTCAAATAAATTAGATTCTTACAGACCAAATGCATTTCAACTGAATACCCTTCATTAGGCCTTTAAAGAATTACTGGAGGGACACAGTTTTAATACTTCAATGGAATATTGACGTTGTGTTTATACTTTTGAGATTTTGGTCCTGAGAATTTTTGGCCACTGTGTGACACAGAGTGTTGGACTGGATGGGCCATTGGCCTGATCCAACATTGGCTTCTCTTATGTTCTTAGGTACTCATATTTTGTGTGTGTGTGTGTGTTTATAAAGCAGCAAAATTGTTATGTGTTAGAGACCACTGAAGAAGATTGTTCAGTTCAAATGCATTGGTCTGTAAGATTTTTTCTTCTGACTGTTTTTTTACTTATCTTGTATATTTATCAAAAGATAATTGTTCTGTTTAGATTATAAACTTTTTGTATTAGATTTTATCTTTTTCAGTATACTGTCAGGTGTGTTGATTGTAGGCTTATTTCTTCCCGTTTTTTCAGTTGTATTCTCCCATGGAATTGCATAGGAACAAATCCCAGAAGAGGAGTTCCTGTTGGCCTTTCGCAGCAAAGCATCTTCAAGTGCCTTCTGGACTTCAAAGTTTGCTTTGTTGTGAACACGGTGGGTCAATGCTGCATTAGGGTGGGGCTTCAATTCAGTGGCAGAGCACCTGCTCGGCAAGCAGAGGGGCCCGGTTCAATCCCTGACACTTCTAGTCAAAAGAAGCAGGTAATAAGTAACGTGAAAGGGCTCCACCTGAGACCCTGAAGAGCCGCTGCTGGTCAGAGTAGAGAATAATAGTCTTGAGAGATCAATAATCTGACTCCATGTAGGAGAACTCTGTGTGTTCACGTGGGCTTCAGCTTTTGGGTACTCCAAAGGACAGCTGATCTAGATACCTGACCCACCCCCTCCTACAGCCACGAGAATGGCAGCGACCTCCCCTGCCCAACAACAAAACTTAACCCAAAATGCTGTTATCAACAGCTCCCCAAATCCAGATTTCTTGGGTGTTCTACATAATCTCAGTTCAATGGTGCCTTCCCATTTCTCTTGACTGTCCAACCATCTCTGAAGGTGCCTACTTGCTAAGGAGGTGTCAACAGGAATCGGTCAGGTTGCTGCCTCTCACACAGGTCTTAGCTCCATGCGCCTTTTCTCCTGTTTCAAGCAAATAAGCCAAGCTATGTTCCCTGGTCCTGTGCCCTTAACTGCTACCACCCAACCGCACATACATTTAGCTGGTGACATCACCCCTGCCACTTGATATCCTGGAAAAGCTTCACTCACTAGGTCTTTCTGAGCCTGGGTGCTGCTAAAGACACAGGAGCAAACAGTAAGGGGAAACGTGGCAACACAAGCAATGTAATGGAGGAGGAGAGGAAACTGGAAAGATCCATGTCAGATGACAAAAGACCACAGCTGGACATCTGCCCTCTTGGTAGGTACCCTAAGCTTTTTAAGCAGAGGCTAGAAGAAGAGAAGAAGAAGAGATTGGATTTATACCCCGCCCTTCACTACCCAAAGGTGTCTCAGAGCGGCTTACAAACCCCTTTCCCTTCCTCTCCCCACAACAGACACCCTGTGAGGTAAGTGGGGCTGAGAGAGCTCTGACTGAAAACCTCCCCACAACAGGTGGGGCTTTTGAGGACTGCTCTTGAGATAACTGCTCTGAGAGAACTGTGACTGACCCAAGGTCTCCTAGCTGGCTGCATGTGGAGGCGTGGGGAATCAAACCCGGTTCTCCCAGATTAGAGTCCGTGCACTTAACCACTACACCAAACTGGCTCTCACACCAAACTGGCTAGATGGCCATCTGACAGCAATGCTGATTCTGTGAATTTAGTGATGAGCCAGTGCTCAGCTCTCGTGGCCCTTCCTTACACGCCCAGGGTAACGCTGATCACCACTTTGGGGGTCAGGAAGGAATTTTCCTCCAGGCCAGAATGGCCCAGGGATCCTGGAGGTTTTTTGCCTTCCTCTGGGCATAAAGCAGGGGTCACTGGGGGAGGGGGAGTGGTTGTGAATTTCCTGCACCGTGCAGGGGGTTGGGCTAGATGACCCTTGAGGTCCCTTCCAGCTCTATGTTTCTATGAGCCATTGGCTCTTAGCCTGTAACCTGCAGCCCCGTGTGAACCATGCCGGAAAACTCAGCGCCAGCCAGCCCTGGGTGTCCTCAGGACTCATCACCTTTTTTCAGTTTGTACCGGAGGCAGGAGGGAGACCTGCTGGGTTGTATATTTTAGTTTGAAATTCTATTGTGTTGGTTTTTTTTTTGAGAGCCTTTCGTACTTATTAGAGATAGAGCTGTAAAAGTGATACAATACTACAGCAGAATATTACAACATTATCCTTTGGTTCTCAGTTAACTGATGGTTATCAGTTTTTCACTATATAGTTAAACTGTGAACGTATGATTATTTTTTTTTGATTATGACTGACAACATACAAAAAAGTTCTGCTTGCGCTAGACAGCCTCCGCCAAGGAGCGTGCTCCCTCTTCTACCAGCTCCTCAATCAGGAGTCCTCAACGACCCCAAGCACAATTGGAAGTATTAGCAGAAAAGGAAGCATAATGCACAGTGGAGGTTTTCTAGCGTGCATGGAATTTGCTCACAGGATCCAAGCCAATGTCTTTGACACTGTACCTGTTTGGAGTCCCCAGTGTGGGCGAAAAACAGGATAAACACATTTAAACAAGCAGACTGTCATAGAAACCAATACCGACAAGCTGCTCCCTTTCTTTGTAGAAGAAGAAGGCAGTAGGTTTTTATACCCTGCTTTTCTCTACCCTAAGGAGCCTCAGAGTGGCTTACAATCGCCTTTGCCTTCCTCTCTCCATAACAGGCACTTTGTGGGGTAGGTGAGGATGAGAGAGTTCAGAGAGAAGCCCAAGGTCACCCAGCAGGCTTCAGGCGGAGGGGGGGGGACTCCAGATCAGAGTCTGCCGCTCTTAATCACTACACCACAGTTGGCTCTGTAGCACACGGTTGGAGGACTGTGGCGTTCCCTTCCCCCACCTTTCCCTTCTGTTCTTCTTGTCTGGAAAGAACGCATCTCCTTTTTCATTTTTAGGCACCAGATTCCAAACGTCTATAAATGATTTAATTCAAATTGAGCTAGAAATTCCTATGGATTTCTGATAGTACTTGTTACTCTTGCTTTCTGTACGATAATATCTACTGAACGCAATTACAGTGTGTTACTGTACAACTAACTGTTTTATCATCATTGCTCTGTTTACACTGCTGTTACATTTTATCTATTATGTATTCTCAGAACCTTTTGTCTATATGTATACGCAACCTACATTTACGTAACCTTACTTTTCAAACTTGATAAATAAAAATTACAAATTAAAAAAAAAAGACTGGAAGTTTGAGCCTCCGGGTTGCAAAGGGTGCCAAGGGGAGGAAGGGTGATGGAAGCCGGGTTGCCAACAGCTTGGGAAGAAAATCATTCCTGTCACTTTAACAGAGGCCAAATGTATGCAGACGGTCCACTGAAGCCTTTCATAGCATGAAGATAAATAACACCGCAGGGTAAACAACAGCCCATTCAGCCTCTGTTCAAGGGAGGAGACATTTCTCTCCAAGCAGTCGACAACCCTAGACAGAAGGCTATGCAGGATCACTGTTGTCTTGTTTCCAACGCACCCCCATGGAGAAAAGTACCTCCTGACGATGCCACGGCCACCAGGATGAGGGCCTCTTCCCGTGTGGGCTGCTCGTCAGAATACTGGAGCTTCTCCGTCACAGAGGCGAGGATGTCCTGCACGGAGGCAGAGAGGCGGCTGCGGATGGTGACGTAGGAGTGGTCAGGCATGTAGACGCGGCAGAAGACTACGGAGACAGAGAGAGCCCGAAGGTTGGAATCTGTGGCTATCACAAGATAGCACTGGTGGTGTTCGGTACCACTACCAGGGACTTCCGGGCTTGGGCTACAGTTGGGAAACTGACAATCCAGACCACACCGAAGTACTGCCGGTCAGCACACCTTGCAGCACGGGATAGGGTTCAATTGTGGATAGGGTTCGATCACTGATGGGGTTCAATTCATTCTGGCCAGTGAGGCTCGTAGCCCTGGCATGCTCCAAGAGTTTATCGCACAGCCTGAATACCAAACTTACACCGAGGGCCAGGAGTGCTTTTTATCAGCTCTACTTGTTGAAAAGGATGCAGCCTTTAATCACAGATGCAGAACTAGCGACCATCATGGGCGCCTAACTTTTCGAGCTGGACTACTGTAACAGATATTTTGGAGAGCTGCCCTTGATGACAGTTCGGAATCTTCAGCTGAGGCATAAGAATGCGGCAGCCAAACCTCTACGAACAGAGAATGTATGGGGCGCGTATAATGCCAGAGCTCCGATTTCAGTATTGGCTCCCTATTGACTTTTCAGGCTCACTGCTCGCTTTTCAAACCCAATTTCAGGATGCTGGCAATTACCTATAAGGCCTTAAACAGCACAAGCCTGGCATGCTTTAAAGATCGCTTCCATCCTTCTGTTCCACCATGACCTTTAAGATAAATCAGGAATGCTATCTTAAAGTATACCATCTGGGTACCACACCAAGCTCGAAAGGCCTTGCAAAGGAATGTCTAGGAGTTGCCGCTCAGCTTCATCAAAAGCTGAGCCCTGTATGTCTCCCAGAAACAGCCCAAGAAGTTTTTATCTCAGCAGGCTTTTGGTGCACAGCAGGATCAGAATGAAATTATTAACAGTAGTGTTACCTGCACCAAACCTTTCGGAGGGGATGGGCCGCAGTTTAACTGAATAAACAAACAAGCGCAAGCATTTATTTGGCGCCAAAATGATATTTACACAGCGATTCTGGCAAAAGTTTCAGAACTGCAATCAGACACGCATTTGGAAGCTGACTCCCAAAGATGCTTAAACCTTTCCAATGAATTTTAAGGCAAGTAACATTTGAGTAGCAGCTTGCCAAATTCTACAAACAAATTCTACAAACAGCCACTCTCACCCACTCTCCACCTGCAAGGCTGGAGCACAATGAGGAATTTTGACCGCCATCTGTTTAATTCTAGATTGACTAGGAATTTTATTGTTAACTTTTAATGTTTTTAACATGTATGATATGTTAGTTTTATCGTGTTGTTATACACGACCCTGAGCCCTGCCTCAGGGAATGGGCAGTATAAAAATTGAATTTAATAAATAAATAAGTTCTTTTACACTTTTAGGAGGGCAGGAGAATCAGCGAGGACATTACTCGCACAGTAATTATCTGTACCTCTATAAAGAAGCTTGACTCTAGAGATTAATTTGGAGTCTCCAAAGCCAAGCCCCAGATCTTGTTTTAAATGTATCTAAGCCCGTGCAAAGTGCCTTTTCTTCACTAAATAAACAAAGCCATGCTGGCCCGTAGCTACGGTGGGGCTATTTGGGGGCTCCGTCCCCTTTCTTAAAGGGCAGCCCCACAAGATTTCCCCCTGAAAAAACCCTTTTTTGCCTTTTAAAAACATTTTTAAGAGGCACGCTCACTGGCATGTTGCGAGAGCTCCCGCTCCCCTTCAAGAGGCCTGGGCAGGCACGTTTTGCAAACAGCAAGACTGTTTCTAAGAAGAAGAAGAAGAAGAGGAGGAAGAGATTGGATTTATACCCCGCCCTTCACTACCCAAAGTTGTCTCAGAGTGGCTTACCAACACCTTTCCCCTCCCTACAACAGACACCCTGTGAGGTAGGTGGGGCTGAGAGAGCTCTGACAGAAACTGCTCTTTTTCAAGAACAGCTGTGTCAGAACCTTTGTTTGCCCAAGGTCATCCAGCAGATGCAAGTGGAGGAGTGGGGAATCAAACCCAGTTCTCCCAGATTAGAGTCTGCACACTTAACCACCACACCAAACTGGCTCTCTAAGGCTGTCTTGTGCTTCAAATGCCTTGCAGGTGAGTAGCCGGTGAGGCTGGGAGACTTCCGAAGGGGGGGGGTCCCTCCTCCTTTCTCTCCCAGCTGGCTCACTTGGGCAGGCAATGCCTGGAGGACATTAGACCCAAGCCCCTTAAAAATTCTAAAGCCGTCCCCCCAAAATTCTAGCTACAGGCCCCCCAAATCCTAGCTATGGGCCTTATAGATCAGGGGTGTCAAACATAAGGCCCGGAGGCCAGAACTGGCCCATCCGGGGCTCTTATGAGGCCCATGAGCAACTGGTGCAAGGGAGGGAACAGAAGATTACTCGGGGAGGGGAGTGGGTGGAGCCACTCCAATTGTGTTTTCAGCATGGCGGAACAACCTTGTCTGCAGCAGCCAAGTGGCATGGGAGCATCTGCCCAGTGCTGTACCGCTGGCTATGGAGTTTGCTGTTACGGGTTTTCCTTTGCACCCCCCTCCCAGCCCCTGGGGCTTTGCAGTGAGGATACAACAACTTGGAGCTTAGCAGCTGCTGTCCTTCATACAGTTTATATCTCCGGTACCTGGCATTATGTTTTATGGCACACATGGCCTGGCCCGAAAAAGAGAGATTTATGTCAGATCTGGCCCCCGTAACAAATGAGTTTGACACCACTGCTATATAGACCCTGGACTCAGGTCAGGTGCTGTTTCCATACTTGAGCTGAGCCTTAACGTATCTCCTTTTAAGTGTTTTCATTTCACACTTCCTAACACTAGATCTCATTCCCAGCTTCTGGAGCCTTCTCTTATCTATGAAAAGAAAAGCATTCACAGATGAACATATCTGACAGAAAAAAGAAGCATTTTCCCTCTTTGGATGCTTGAAAGACAGTCTCAGTGGGAAACCCACCTACTCCACCGACCCATCACATTAATACTTACTTTCATCCGACCCGCGGAAAGCGACCCGTGTCTGAAGGCAAGAATCTATGCGACGGAAGTGCCGGAAAAGGGGTTTGACTTGTTTGCTAGGGGGTTGGCTTTCATCAGTCACCCTGAAGCCAGACGGAAAGATTTAGAAGTCAGAAGGGGGAGGGGACCCACGAAACACAGATCGTATCGTGAACCGTTTTCAGCGGGGCAAGAAGCTGATAAGGGTTCTGAGAAGTATTCAAGCTTTTCTGCAAGGAGGGAATGCAGCACAGACAGAGCAACTTGGGCACTTCTGAATGGTAAAGGTAAAGGTTTCCCTTGCTCGAAAGCCAGTCGAATCCGACTCTAGGGTTGCGGTGCTCATCTCCGTTTCAAAGCCGAAGAGCCAGCGCTGTCCGAAGACTTCTCCATGGTCACGTGGCCGGCATGACTAAGCACCAAGGCGCACGGAACACTGTTACCTTTCCACCGAAGCGGCACCTATTTATCTACTTGCAATTTCTTGCTTTCGAACTGCTAGGTTGGCAGGAGCTGGAACTAGAGACGGGAGCTCACTCCGTCATGTGGCACTCGGGTCTCGAACTGCTGAACTACCGACCTTCCAGCCTGCAGTTCAGCATCTTAACTACTTGTAATCATGCATAAAGCCCATTCTGAGCCTCACAATAACATACGTTCTTGTTTTCTCTGCTTACTTGAGCTCCACCGTCTCAACAAGTTGATGTAACTTCAGAATTTCATCTTCCAGTTTGTGGTAGAGGGAGGAGTCTTTCATGATCAGCAAGTACAGATCCTAGAAGGAAAGCGAGAGAAAAGGGGTTCAGGCAATGGGGTCCTGATGCCCGAGCAGAAGGCTACTTTCCACTCATCCCCACATGACACCACCCACCCTGGCGCAAAACATTAACTGGCCACCCCTGAGAGGTACACTGGCATTGTTTAGGGCAATGGCTGCAAATAACACCTTATATACTGGTTATATTCGTTTCTTTAAAAAACATGGAAGTTTCTAGTTCTCATGGGAATGAAGGTTAGGACAGCCATACCGTACCTTAATGACTTTGCCTGCTTTCTCCTCTTCCTGCAAGATCCCTTTGTAGGTCTCAAGGAAATGCAGCAAGATAACCAAAACGGCTCGCTTCCGATGGGTGGCCTCACCGTCCTTCCAACACGGGGGTGAAGGGATTGTTGACGCCGTCATGAAGGTGGCAACAGAAAAGTCAAGGGCAAATCATTAAATGATAAGGCTTGGGGGAGGGGGATTGGGACCTAGATGTTAGCACGACAAAGGACACCAATGAACCCGAATAATCTGCACTGGACATATTTTAGCTGTTCTTCCACCAGCTCCCCAACTGGCATTTGGAATCTCTAATGAATTCAGTCTAAGAATCTCAGTTGCCTTCGGTGGTACGGTTCAGTTGTCACACATGGTCTAGGGAGATCTAGGTTCATATCCCCTAACCAGCTATCATGCTCATAGCTGTGGGACAGCCACTCCCTCTGAGCCTACCTCACAGGATTGTTGTAAGGATAAAATTGGGGGTGAGGGAAGGACATCATCACCTGAGTTTCTCAGCAGAAGGATGGGATGAAAGAGTGAATTAAAATGACAACTACTGTCTCTACAAGGTGAGTATCTTGAGAATGCCAGTTTCATTCAATTGTGTCCACAAGCTATAATGGGGCGGGGACGTTCCCAGATTTTGCAATTGCAGGAATGACACCGCAAACTCAGGGACAGCCGAGACTGATGTTATTCTGACAGGATATCATGAGAAAACCAGCTCTGAGTAAATGCAGTAAGCCAAACTGATTATTTAAGGAACAGCAGCTGCAAGACTGAACATTACTCTTGGTGTTGAACTTGTCACTGGGAACTCATAGAACCAGAGAAGGTAGCATTCCACACACATTTCCACACCCTTGAACTTATCGATCCCATATTTTTGGGGAGGGGGCTGGAACGGGGAGGGTCATCTTAATTGCTACCTGTTGGATCAAATTAACCAGTGACATAAGCAGTGTAACCCAAAGCAGAGTTAACTCCAGTTTAAGCCCATTGACTCCAGTGGGTTTAGACTGGAGCAACTTTGTGTAGGATTGCATTGTACATTTCCCCACTAATACAGACTAGACTGTGCTTCTAGCTGTACTGTCAACTTGGCCTAAGCAAATTTCTTCATCCCCCCCCCCCCGGAAATGTCACTGTTCACATTAGGGGATATGTCTGAGTACATGCGTAACATGAGATTTGTATTTTACCCTTTCTCCAAAGAAGCTCAGACAAGGAGAATCGTAGAATTGTAGAGCTGAAAGGGAACTCCAGGGTCATCTAGTCCAACCCCCCGCACAATGCTGGAAATTCACAAATACCTCCCCCTCCACACCCACAGTGACCCCTGTTCCACGCCCAGAAGATGACGAAAAAACCTCCAGGATCCCTGGCCAAACTGGTCTGGAGAAAAAATTGCTTCCTGACCCCAAAGTGGCAATCGGCATTTCCCTGGGCGTGTAAGAAAGGGCCACAAGAACTAAGCACTGAGGCAACCCTTCCTGCCTTCCCTCTCATGATCTGCCTGAGTGCCTGAGTTCACACAATCAGGAGTGAAAAATCTGTGATCCCGTTCCATCCTCATAGCAGCCCTGCAAAGAAGATTAGAGCCCAAACTACATGCTGCTGGGGAGAAGCTGGGGGTGGGATGTCCCTGACTTACATCCCCATCACTAAAACACAATGGGGGGAAACACAATGGGGGGATATAATCTATATATCTAATAGCCAAGTCACCCCCTGGTGTGCGGATACTTATTTCCGCACATCGGGTGCACCTGGGGGGGAGGGAGAGTTTTGTGCACACTTGGGACGGTTCCCAGGTGTGCATAAAAATCTGAAACCCTGTAAAAAATATCGGGAGGATGTTTAAATCCCCCCAAAACTGACAGAGCATCCCCTGCGCATGCGCAGGGAACGCTCTGCAGCTGGCCTCCCGCCGCCGCTGCGGAGGGGGGGGAGAGAGCAGTGAGGGCCACTCGGCAAGCTGCTCGGCCCTCGCTTTGGAGCCGGGGGGTGGGGGTGGGGAGAGCAGCGAGGGGCGAGCGGCGAGCCGCTCAGCCCTCGTTTCGGTGCCGGGATGGGGGGGGGGGGGAGAAAGGCAATGGGGGGGAGATCAAGGGGGGGTGGAGGAGATGGGGGGAACCGGCGGGATGGGGGGGGTACCTACCTACCTCCTCCTGCTGCTTCCTCCTCTGCCTCCCCCCCCGCGAGTATTGCGGGTCCGCCCCTTGTATCACTATATTTAGCTCTTCTCACCCTCTCGACCATCCACCAATGCAGCAGAGTTGGAGGTGGGCAAACACTGATGCCTTGACGATACTTCTGAATATTTTTCCCCCAACTACATAGATTCAGGTGGGTTAGCTGTGTTGGTCTGAAGCAAAAGAACAAAGTTTGAGTCCCCTGGGCACCTTTAAGACCGACAAAGTTGATTTCTGGGTATCATCACATCTGAAGAAGTGGGCGTGCCCACGGAAGCCTATACCCAGAATTTAACTTTGTTGGTCTTAAAGGTGCCCCTGGACTCAAACCTTGTTCTTTTTCAACTACGTGTTTCTGATAGTGAGTGACTTGGCCCAATGCCGCCTAGCGAGGTTCCTTGCTGGGAGCTGACCCACATTATGCAGCAAATGGAATTATTCCGTATATAAGACAATAGGCTTAGAAAGGTTTAACACGACTTAGAACTCCACGGGAAGCGGCGCGAAGGGACTGTTCCATTAAACCAGCTGAGGAGGAGGAGTCTGTGTGTCACGTGGCATTCTGCAGTGGGCAAAATTCCCATTGGAGAACAATCACCCTGGACAGTTTCACTCCCGGGTAACAGCGGGGAGGCTGAAGTTCGCTCTGCACACACACTACAGTCCTGACCCAGACCAGGAACCACACTGAAGACAGTGTACAAATCATGCGTGCCTTTGGGACTGTTCATAGCCTGGGGCACACGAGCCCCACCCTGCAAGCTCCGTCTTGCGGAATAGTTAGACAATGATTCGAATCCAGTGCTACTGGACTCAAAACAAACTGTTCTGCTGCAGACCAAGACAGCTGCCCCCTGAAACCTACCCTGTGGAAACGGACTCTGAGCTGGACACGGCTGTCTAGCAACTATATCATGTTTATCGAGAGTGCCCCGAGGCACATTAAAAACCCACAAAAGCTGATATTACAATAAATCTGTGAGTCTTTAAGGCACTAGAGACCTTTCTTACATTTCAGCTGCTGCAGATTTACAGAGTTACCCTGCTGTATCACGTAAAGAAAGCGGGACTGAATCAGGGAGGGTAATCAGTATGTCAAGTATAAAAAGGCAAAGGTAAAAGTTTCCCTTGCTCGAAAGCCAGTCGAATCCGACTCTAGGGTTGCGGTGCTCATCTCCGTTTCCAAGCCGAAGAGCCAGCGCTGTCCGAAGACGTTTCCATGGTCATGTGGCCGGCATGACTAAACACCAAGGCGCACGGAACCCTGTTACCTTCCCACTGAAGCGGTACCTATTTAAAAAAGGCAAAGGTTCCCTTGCTCGAAAGCCAGTCGAATCCGACTCTAGGGTTGCGGTGCTCATCTCCGTTTCCAAGCCGAAGAGCCAGCGCTGTCCGAAGACGTTTCCATGGTCATGTGGCCGGCATGACTAAACACCAAGGCGGACGGAATGCTGTTACCTTCCCACCGAAGCGGTACCTATTTATCTACTTGCAATTTCTTGCTTTTGAACTGCTAGGCTGGCAGGAGCTGTGGCACTAGGGACTCGAACTGCCAAACTACAGACCTTCCAGTCTGCAGCTCAACCTCACTAAGTTGAAATGTAGAAAATCGGTAGATAAACAGCTCAAGAGACTTACTGGTCAAAACTGTCTATTATTTATCTCATTTATCCTTCTGACTTTCTCCCCAGTGAGAACCCAAAGCGGTTTACATCATTTTCCTCACCTCCATTTTATCCTCACAACAGTCATGTGAGGTGGGTCAGGCTGAGAGTGTGTGACCAGCCCAAGGTCAGCCAGCGAGTGTACATGACAGAATGGGCATTCGAACCTGAGTCTCTTAGATCCTAGTCCTACACCCTAACTATTACACTACACTGGCTCCTCACATGCATTAGCCTCTGGAGATTCTCAGCCTCAATTCTTCTTTCTCGGAGACTGGGATTTCCCCTTTTGGGATTTGAGGATTCTGGCTATTCCTTTACCCCTGTAGTCACTTGGACCCACTTTAGCAGAGGATCAGATATGTGGAGCCAGTCAAGAACGTAACTCTAAAACTGGGCCAAGGTGCGAGTTGAAGTGGTAATAGTCAGGCACATATCCGTAGTAGTCAGGAATGTATCTACTGCAAAACTTTAGCTGGATTTACCTGCCAGCAATAAGAGCCTTATACTGCCAGACTATTGCTTCACCTAGCCAGTAACATTTGATCTGGCTGGCAGCAGCTCTTCAGAGCCTCTGTTTCTCTCAGCTGGAAGTACCAGGGACCACAAAAGTACAAAGCACACGTTTTGCTGCTGGGTTTTGCTGCCTCCCATCAAGGGCTCACCTGTCCTGAACGAGGTTAGTGGCTGTCCTTCCATATGCCACATCGTCCTTCTACAAGATGACCTCCAAATACTGGATTATGTAGACTGGTAACAAGGGGGGGAAATTATTACGAAAAAGGAAGACTGGATTAGAATTTGCCTAGATTCATAGGGCCGGAGGGGGCCAGTACGAAATCAAACTTGCAAGGCGGAATTAGTCCCATATCAGCCACAAAGATGACAATCCTAGTTTTCGACATCTTTGCTCAGTTTGAATAATTTATTCAGTTTCTTCTAGCCCCGGGGAAGGGCAAGGAGCAAAGCGGAGCAATGAAACCATCCCAGCTGGAGCCCCTTTCTGGCTTTCCAGATTTCACCAAGCATTGCTCACCTAATTTTCACATCCACCTTCACAACCTTCTGGCTTTACAGAGAAGAACCGAAGCCGAGAGATTCCCCAGATGTTAAATACGCTCTCCATTCTGCTCTTTCAGCAGACCAGATGTGGAACCACACGATCCAGAGAGTCCTATGCCACAAGAGTGCGAACAGCGCTTCCCCTACAATTAGATGTGGCAGAAATAACATGCTGCCTCCCACCCCCCTTCCACCACTCTTAAGGCAGCTTTTCCAACCCCACATGGAAAGGATATTGCTGATGTAGTTGGTGCAGGAACTGCTCGGTGGGCAGGAACAACGAGTGGGTGAGGACGATGTCATCTAGAAGCAAGTCTAAGGGAAGAAAATAAGGGAGAGAGATTATAAGGCTGTCCCACCCTGAAAAGCAATAAGGACAAGAAACCAGCAACTTGCCTTGAGTGCTGTAAAGGGCTGGGGCCACACAGTCAAACCACGTGAACATTCACATCACACATGGCTGAAACAAACCCGTAGCAACCAGTGTTCCCTCTAAGCTGAGTTAGTGTGAGCGGGCTCACAGTTTTTTAGCCTCCGGCTCACACATTTTTTCCTTAGCTCAGGAAGGATGGCTCCAGAGCAAACTAATTTATGCAGCAGCCAAATCGCTTGCTCACCACTTTAATGCCAGTAGCTCACAAAGTAGAATTTTTGCTCACAAGACTCCACAGCTTAGCGGGAGCATTGGAAGCAACTAAGTGTCGAAGGCCACCACCTCCTGCATGCTTGCACTGACGGCAGAAAACAGGAGCAGAGCACTAAACCTTGCCTCAAACAACAGGGCAGTGAACATGAAGACCCTCTACCAGACCTGTTACCCTGCACCATCAAAGCCAGGACCAGATCTGAGCCAAGGTGCCCCGGAACCCAGACCTATTTCCAGTGCTTTTCCCCCCCAGATGTGGAACATGAGGAGGGTAAAAAGACACCAAACATCTCCAAACGGGCACAGAGATTGTCTTTGTGACACCAAAGGGTCTGCCATCACCAGCTGCAGCCTGCAACGTATTTCTCATGAGAAACAATAGCGGACAGGCAGGCTGGAATAAAAGTTGCTTGCCTTTCAAATGCTATTGGACTTTTCTTTTGTTTGGCTACAACAGACTGACATGGCTATCCCTCTGGAATGAGACCCCACCCCCCATGCCTCCGATGCATTAGGCACAACCCGAATTATCCCGACTTTTCTTCTCCTCCTAGATCACATCTCTTGCTGTTTTACTCTATTGTCTTCTAAAGTATTAACAGTCACTTTATAGCTACTGCAGCAAGTCACCAATCAAAGCCACAGGGTCACCTGTTACTGCCATGTGCCCCTGGGCTTGGCTCTACACAGATTTCGTTATTCGTGTCTCTTGGCCTGAAAACCATTCCTAGCAGTGCAAGGAGCCAACTCTCCCTGTTCTTTGATTGCCAGCCTCCAGGTGGGAACTGGGAATCCCTTGGAACGACAGTTCATCTCCAGAGTACAGAGATCAGTTCCCCTGGAGAAAATGGATGCTTTGGAGGGTGAACTCTATGGCATTGGATCCTACTGAGGTCAAGTGTTCCCTCTAAGCTGAGTTAGTGTGAGCTAGCGCACAGTTTTTTAGCCTCCAGCTCACACATTTTTGTCTTAGCTCAGGAAGGATGGCTCCAGATCACACTAATGTATGCAGTAGCCAAACCGCTCACTCAGAACTTTAATGCCAGCAGCTCACAAAGTAGAATTTTTGCTCACAAGACTCCACAGCTTAGGTCCCTGATATCCCCAGGCTCTATCCCCAAACCACTAGGAGTCTCCCAACCTGGATCTGGCAACCCCACCCACCACTCCGCACTGCTGGTGGTGGTGGGACCTGGCAATTCTATCCTAAGACCAAAGAGCAGATCCTGTCCCTAATGGCAGCCATCTTGTCGCTGGCCCCGCCCCTGGGGCAGCCATATTGAGACTGGCCCCTACTCCTCTTTCTCAAAATTCCAAAATTGCCCGAAGGCTCAATAAAGTCAGGGATCTGCTCTGAAGTTCAGGAAGAGTGTGACGCCGGAAAATCCAGCACCAACATTCCTCCAGCAGACTCTCAGAACGACAACATTGACAGTAAATGGGCCAGCCCTGCAGTACAGTTTGTGAGTGCTGTTGTGCAAGAGGGAACAACACAACCATCTTGACAATGAGCCTGTGGACTCTGGAGCTCACGCAGATTACACACACACCATGTGACAAAGCCCAAAGGGCTCTTTTTGCAGAGCACAAGGGAGAGGTTGATTTGCATCAAAGAAGTAAGACGGAAGGAAGTAATTCACCCTTCCCCTATCGGTCGCTTTTGCTCTCAAACTGCTTTTATCACGACCGTGTTTATGAGGGCATCTAGGGTAACCAGGCCTCCTATTACAGGGGGATGCCTCCCAGTTGATGCCTTCCAGTGCCTCAGGCACAGGTGGGAGTACTTGGGAGGAGAGGAAAAGCCTAGTATTCCAGCAATGCACCTGAGTACCTGTGTTCCTTCCAGGTTGAGCCAGAAGTGACTCAGGACGCGCTAGCATTCCACAAAGACTCTATGGTAAAACCACAGAGTTTTTGCAGAATTCTACAGCAACACGCTGACATAACTTCCAGGCACGTGGGGAGTGATGTCACTGTGTTGTCCACAAAGGCCCCACCTAGTAAGTCTCCCTCCATTTGCCTGGCAACCCAATGTACTATAAAATTTGCCCTCTGAAGCTGCCATTTTCTCCAGGGGAGCTCATTTCTATAGTCTAGAGATCAGTTGTAATTCCGAGAAAATACCATCACCTGGAGGTTGGTAACCAGGTGGCCATTAGTTAGGCTTGCCAGGTTCTTCCAAGCAGCCAGTGGAGGATGAGGGGGGCACTTACTGGCAGTAGGAAGGTATGCCCGGCATTTCAGCAACATGCTTACGTGACTTGGAAGTGATACAGGCATGTTGGGGTGGGGGACACTCCGGTTTTTGGCCAAAACTCTACGGTAGAATTAACTTCTACCATAGAGATTTTGCCCCAAAACTAGAGAGTCGCTACTGATGAGCCTATGTCACTTCCGGGTCACTGAAATGCTGGGCATTCCTCCCCTTTTTTTGGGGGGGGGGAGAATTCCCCCTACTGGTCAGCTGGCCACCTGTGGAGAGGTGAGGTCTGGCATCCTTACCATTAGTATTACCACATCTCATGGCAGTGAATTCTGTGACACAGTTGTGGGAAGAGGGGTGTCCTTTCATCTGGCCTTAATCCACTCCCAAACAATTTTGCTGGGGAGCGACTGAATTCTAGTATGCTGAGACACAGAAAAAAGTTATCTTTCTACCCATTCTCTGTATGAAAGTAATAATTCTGCAATCCACTCTCAAGTCAGTGGGGTCTGAACTGGTGGAGACTGACCAAGAGAGAGATTTTGGAGTCGTAGCAATAACTCAATGAAAATATCAATTACTACAATTTAAATAGGCCAACGCTATGCTCAGGATTATTAGGAAGGGAACTGAAAACAAATCAGCCAATATCATAATGCCCCTGTATAAATCAATGGTGTGACCTCATTTGGAGTACTGTGTACAGTTCTGGTCACCACACCTCAAGAAGGATATTATAGCATTGGAAAAAGTGCAGAAAAGGGCAACTAGAATGATAAAAGGGTTGGAACACTTTCCCTATGAAGACAGGTTAAAACGCTTGGGGATCTTTACCTTGGAGAAACGAGGGCTGAGGGGTGACATGATCGAGGTTTATAAGATTATGCATGGGATAGAGCAGGTCAAGAAAGAAGTACTTTTCTCCCTTTCTCACAATACAAGAACTCCTGGGCACTCAATGAAATTGCTGAGCAGTCGGGTTAGAACAGATAAAAGGAAGTACTTCTTCACCCAAAGAGTGATTAACACATGGAATTCACTGCCACAGGAGGTGGTGGAGGCTACAAGCATGGACAGCTTCAAGAGGGAACTGGATAAGCACATGGAGCAGAAATCCATCAGTGGCTATTAGCCACAAGGTATAGATAGGAACTCTCAGTCTGGGGCAAGTAATGCTCTGCATTCTTGGTGCCGGGGGGTGGGGGCAACAGTGGGAGGGCTCCTAGTGTCCTGGCCCCACTGCTGGACCTCCTGATATCACCAGGTATTTTTGGCCACTGTGGGACAGAGTGTTGGTCTGGACGGGCCCATTGGCCTGGTCCAACATTGGCTTCTCTTATGTTCTCATGTTCTTATGTCCCACCTTCGGGTCCACCTAAACAACACACTGCTTACACTTCTGCCCAGCCTATGATTGCCAGGTCTGGGCTGAGAAATACCCAGAAATTTAGCGGATGCCGCCTGAGGAGGGTGGTGTTTAGGAAGGGGAGGGACTTCAGTGGGGTATAATGTCACAGAGTCCACCTTCCAAAGCAGTCACTTTCTCCAGGTGAAAATCTGTCGCCTGGAAATCGGTTGTACTCGGAGGAGATCTCCAGGCACCGCCTGAAGGCTGGCAACCTTAGTCCCAGTTGTGCTTTAGGAGTTCCATGCTGAAACGGAATACCCAAGTGCATGGGGTGTGATCTGGATCAAGGCCATAGTGCATGGGAAGGGGCTGTTCTGTTGGGAAAATGTACATGTATTGATGGACTGCACATACATTTTCCCAAGAGAGCAAAAAGTGGCTTTAGGAGCCATTTCAAGCCAGGAAAACGATGCCCCGTGTGTGTGTGTGTGGGGGGGAATTTGCACACTGTGGTCCTGAATTGGGGGTGCCCTCCCCCATATACATAAATCTACACCCCTAGCACAGAACTCCCAGCATATGTCTGGTCTACAGGACATGAGACCAATGTTCCCTCTAAGCTGAGTTAGTGTGAGCTAGTTCACAGTTTTTTAGCCTCCAGCTCACAAATTTTTGTCTTAGCTCAGGAAGGATGGCTCCAGGACAAACTAATTTATGCAGTAGCCAAATTGCTTGCTCACAACTTTAATGCCAGTAGCTCACAAAGTAGAATTTTTCTCACAAGACTCCACAGTTTAGAGGGAGCATTGCATGGGACAGCCCCATAAACAACATTATGCTGCAAGTCAGCCATCTTTCTAAACCCACAGGTGACTTTCCTCAAGTTACACAGATGGGTGACCATACATGGCAGCTCCCTCTCTAGACAAATGTAGAAAAACGTTGCCTCAGAAGCAGGGTTAAAAGGGTGAGTATGAATTTAAATCTGTTCTTCCTCGGTCAGGGTTTCTCATTCTGTTCCCTCAGGGAATGCCACATATTTTCCATATATATCCACGCCACACGTAACACTTCGTCACGACACCACATCCACCTGGTTCAGCCAAAACATACCAAAG